GATTTTTTGAACAATCTAAAATGATATGCCGATATGGGTTTTGAACTTTTGATTCTTGCAGACAAATAGATAAAACTGAAATATATGGGTTTTGAACTTCTGATTCTTGTAGATTTTGTAGTTTGTAGTTGGAGAGAGAGAGAGAGGGTAAGTTCAAAGAGAATAGAGATGGAGGCGACAGGGGAGGCTGAAATGATTTGCCCTAAAAATATTTTATTTTATTTATAATAATATAATCAAATATAATATATTATATATATATATATATATATATAAATAATATATATAAATTTTCAAAATTTTTTTTTTTTTTTAAAAAACTTAACCCGTCAACCCGACTCAACTCGTCCGAAAATATTCGATCTAGGTTATGATCATAACCCATATTGAGTACAATTCGGGCTGGCTCAACTCAACCTGTTTCGGGTTGAGATTGGGTTGGACCAGCCCAAGTTACAACCATAACTAATTGAACGAGAACTCGTTGGAGTTCGATTTGTTGTAGCAATATGTAAAGAGTCTACAGTAAGTAACCCAAAAATGTGGGTGGCTGGTTTGGTTATCTTGGGACAGAGAAAAAGGCACATGGATTTAGCCACCGTGCATGCCATTGTCAGCAGGGCAGAGTGCAGAAAGAATTAGTAAGCATTTTGTGAGGACAAATGTGGACTTAATTTGGACCACATTAATATTGCCAGAAGCTCAATAACCAAGCCGACATCCATCTATAATAGACCCCCATGCGCCTGGGCTTCCCTCCATGCCCCAGCCTACCATATATCCTATCCTATATAAACATTCCTCACCGGCCTATATATACAAATATACATATATATATATATATGTGTGTGTGTGCGCGCGCGCGTAACTAAATTAGTTCTTCTATGGACGTCACGGGTTTGGCCTCGTCACCACCAACAAGGTGAAGGACCAGCTTGCAGCTGAGCTACTCTCCTCTTCTCAATATATCCAAAATGTTTCAATAAGTGAAATTTCAGACAACTTTCTCTCTCTATATGTATATATACACTACATAATACATATTTATACAAACACATGCGTGCGTTCAACTTGTGTGTCATAAAGTATAATAATGTGAGAAGTGTTACGTTTCGGACACCGCGAATTGGCAATGTGTTTTTGTTTGTTTGTTTGTTTACACCGGTTCATGGATACAGTTACACTACATACATTGTTGGTTAATTGCCATTGTTAATATATATATATATAATTATAATAAATATATATATACACATGTAATGTATTGCTGAAGCAGCAAGAATGTCCCACATGACCATTGATACCTTTATATAGTTGAAGAAATATATCTTTAGAGATGCACCTTTTGATTAAAGGAGGGAAAAACTTTCACACTTTTGCTGCTGCATGTCCTCCATTACCCTTTGTTAATTTAATCCTCAACATAAAAGAGACTAAGCACCCAGAAAACACGACCGAAAGAACATATCACCAATGTATGCAATACTAGTATTTGTCACCCACTCTAGTGCCAAACTATATATATATATATATATGTTTTTAATTAACCATTAAAAAGATTATGAAACGCATATACAATTATTCTTTTTAGGTTTATGAAACGTGTGGTACGAATGGAAAGAACAAAGCTCTTGTAATTCGTGAATGAAATTTCTCTGCAATATATATATATATATATATATATATATATATATATAGACACAGGTGAATTGAATGGAATTGTTATTAAGATCAGTTTAACTGAATATATATATTAGTATATCACAGAGATCGATATGGAGATAAGGTTTTTTTTAAGAGAAACCAATGAGAGGAATAGATCAATCTTTTTAGCAAATTGATCAAATCTATATGTTCACCAATTCTTCTTCCCAGCTACATGAGATTTTCCACATTATCTCAATATATAAGCGGTGAGAATCTTCCATTGACATACTAATTAAGATACTGAAATGCACAAGAAGCCTATGTTTTGAGTAATCATAATTAACTTGCAGGAATTCTAAGGCATCCATCATTAATTCATTAAATCCAATCACATCATGAATTATGTGCAGCGGCCGCCCTTCACTATGGCATAAGCAACCACAAAAAATCTCAAAATCTGTACTGAAACAATGGATCGAACCAAAATTTGAGCTAGAACACTTGTTTTTGTGTTAAATGTAAAACCGAAATTTCACAGAAGCCATGCAGATGGATCATGTACACTGTTCAGTTGTCATGAAGAAATGATATGGTTCAATTAATTTCATGTATTCTATTTTGTAACATCAGAAAACACACGTGATTCAACACTTCAAAAAAATGGAGTCCCCATTACAACTTTTTTTCAGTGCAAAAAATAAAGGTATGGTAGTATACCACCCATATAATTCCTACATGACCTTTTTACAAGCCAGCATGAGAAAATAAGCTGCTTCTAGTCAAATTTATGAATAACACAATCAATTTCATTTCAAATCCTATGCAATAAAGAATTGAATAATTTGCTTATACTAGGGTATCCGTAATCCATTCAAACAAACATATTCATTTTAAGCAATTAGAATTCATGTAGCTTGACTCAATTTCTATATCAACATAATTTCCACCATCAAAGTATGATGTATGGTATGTAGATGATGTATCTATGTTTAAAATTTACCCTCCTTTAAGCACCATATTATGGAAAACACTATCTCAACACAGTTATATATAGAGAACCATTTTAACATTAATTCTAAGAAATAGAAATAAATAGCTACTAAATTTCTAATTCAATAGCTTTCACATCTTTTCTTAAGAGAAATATGTACAACAGAATTTGTTGTAGGGAAGTTCATAAAGAATTATGCGTCCAACTTAATGGACTCCTATCAATATGTAATAAGAGAAAATTGAAAAGTTCTTAAGTTATAGTTTCATATATACATTATGTATGTGAATTCTGTATTTAAGTTATATTCATAAAGAATTTTCCTTTGTGTAATCCTTCGAGCAAGGAATACTCACCATTAACTTCAATAACTTCATATGATGAATAACACTCTCATTCTTTAATTTAGTTTAAAATTTTAACTTTTTTAATTTAAAAAAAAAAAAAAAAAAAACTGAAATTTGGTGCTATTAATTTCACATGTCAAAGCTCAAATTGAGAACATATTATGGAGAGTGTCACATTAGCTGGTAAAGAAGTCTTTTACTAAACATTGTTTTTCCTACATTAGTTATAAACCCCCAATCATGACATTTTAAAAAGATGCACTGAAAATTATTACACAATCCAGAAGTTCTGGTTTATGTCTACATGTGATTGTCCTCAAACCCTTGGTCATGGTTGCATTGAGACTTTGGACTGCTAGCTGGTGTGTCCATGCATGTAAAAAAGTTATTTAATTTTTTAAAAAAATGATCCATTTTTTTGCCTATGACTCCAATAGATAGAGTGTAACGGAGACTCTTGTAAGTATATTAAAAGAATAGAATCTCGATGTTCATCTCAACCATTGATTGTCACATCAGTCGGTAACAACTTTTTATTTTTATTTTTATAAGAGTATGTTCGTTGTCAAAGTTTATCAAACTGTAATTTAGCCAATTAAAAAAAAAAAAAAATTATCAAACTGTTTGGGGAATAAAAGGCCAACTGTGTACATATTTCCAGGGAATATGGTCAAATAGAGAAAATGATCATAAAAGGAAACACAAGAAAATGCTTAGGAGAAAGGAAATTCTAGAAATTTTATATTTGTTGAGAGTGTAAGGTCCAAATGGGTAAATGATGTATAATAGTACTTGTTATATATGTGTGTGTGTGTGTGTGTGTGTGTGTGTGTAGCAGAAATTGTCATAACTAGGGAAAGTTTTCTAATCTTTGTGTTCCTTTCACTGTGCCAAATCAAGTAGCCTCAAAGAGAAACTTCAACCCTTGATCATATTATATGTACCTTAACCTACATTAATTAAGACTTAATTATATAGTTATACGTCACATGCATTTATACTTGCAGGAGCATTAAAACATTAGCAGCAAACAAGCAAACTGCAGCTTCCATAATTCCATTCTTCCACAAGTCACATCCAATTATGTCTATTTCAACTAATAGCTTTCTTTTTCAAATTTTAATTTTTATATTTTACAAATTAATATAGCTGACAAAAATGCAATTATTATATGAAGCTTTACACAAATATATATATATATACATATATATATATACATAAGTGATATATATGTGTGTGTTTTGTGATATATATATATATATATATGTGTGTGTTTTGTGATATATATATATATATATATATATCACAAAACACACACATATATATCACTTATGTACATCTACGAATGCATACATATGTGTGTGTATAGTGTGTTCAGAGAGAGATTTCATGGTTACACTTTGTGGACTGGAAAGCCAAATGTCATTGCATGAAGAGTACATGCAAAGCTGAACCACCAGTAACTTATTAGCTTCTTTTTCAGAAATGGCTACCAAAATCATAGAAAACATTTTTTAAATATTGGTTAAACCAAACAAGATTTTTAATTCGTCCCATTTTTATCCGGCAAATAACGCATAAACAGGAAAAAGCATCTTCTAGTTCAAAACCAACAACAAAGCCAATTGAATTTCAAACTAAAAAATAAATCACATCTCATAAAAGAGTGAACAAACAACACATAAATGAGCACAACACAAAAAAAAAAAAAAAATTCACCCCACCACAAGACAACAAAATTCTCATCCATAAATTTTTCAATACTGACCAAGAAAATCATAATTAATTCGAACTCAAACAAAGAAAAAGCAAACATATCCATATATATATATATGTTCTCTTTTCAATATTTCCTAGTTCAATGGGTGTTACCAATATATATACTCATCTAGAACACAAACAATGATATATAATGGCATGCAAATAAAGGGTTATTGTTAGAAGAAAAAGAGAACAGCCTTGTACTCTAGAGAGATCCAAAAACAATGAGTGAGTAGTAGTAGTACTTCAATTTTTTAAGGTCTTGGTGGTGGGAAGAATTGCGTACCCGCCATGAAAGCACTGATTGGAGCTGGATATACAGATTGATCAATGTATGTGACAGCTGGATTAGTGGCGGTGGCCGTGGCCGCCGCTGAGGCAGCAGCCATGAGGTTAAATTGTTGAGCTCCACCGCCGGAGGAGCTCTCACCGCCTGCGGTGTAACCACTTTCCAGGCCTTGATCATAGAGAATTCCCTTGAAAACATGGCCTCCAATGTTCACAGCCGTCTGATACGCATACTGCTCATCAGCCTCCTCCATTCCGCTCACTCTTACGCAGCGAAAAACCGCCGGAGAACTCAACTCAGCCGGAAAGTGACCCACTTCTAACCCTAAAATCATCAAAAGATAGATTTCAAAGCAAAATATAGACTTTTGAAAAAGAAAAAAAAAAAACTTTAATCACAAATGATAAAAACAAAAGCATTATTTCTTCGTGCAAGTACTAATTCCTTGGACCATTTCGTCAGTTTTACTCACCAACAGTAGGAGAAGAAAAAGGAAGAGAAAAACAAAAGAAAAAGCATGTGAGAGTAGGTGACTATGAAACTAGTCATCATCTGGACTTCATTGTTCATCACACACCCAAACAATATAATGGTCTAGTTTTTGTTGGGTAGCAAGTAAGAGTGTTAATATTCATACAAAATCCACAAAAATTTCTTTCTATAAATTTTTTTTCTTTTCAAAATTGTGTGTGTGTGTTTTTGAAGTACTACTGTGTGTGATGAAACTGCAACATTACCTGATGTGGTAGTTGGAATCTCTCTCTGCCTTTTGGGATTCTCTCCATGAGCTGATCTCTGCAGACTAAACTGATGTTGTTGCTGCTGCGGTGGTTGATTTGGTTGCTGTTGATGATGAAATTGTAAAGCAGTGAGTTGTTGCTGCTGCTGCTGCCTTTCACGCCTTTTTGCAGCAGGAACCCAAGTGCTCTTGACATGGGTGTGACACTGAAACCCTCGGCTCTTACAACAAGTCCTGCACCTCATGTGCACACAGTCTTTCTTCGCTTGGTTTCCACAGTCTTGACAATTCATACCTTCACCTTCTTCTTGTCTTGTCACAACGAACCCTGATCTATACCACTCATCACAACCACTATTGATTAATATTCTCCTTCTACTCGGACTCACCATTGAGTACTGCGCCAAACTCAGTGCACGAAACTCCCGTCATTTCAAAGTTCAATAGAGAGGTGAGATCCTTAATTAACTCTACATATGTTGTTTCTTTGTTTCCAACCCTTTTTTTTTGTAGATCGATCTGTTTGTTTCTGCTCAGAAACAAGCAAATTGTAGTGTGTTCTTGTTGGTTTGACACATTTATTACATCTAAAATTTGAGATTCACCTCAATTTTGAGATGCAAGGCATGGTAGAAGATGGGTTTTGAGGGAATTAATGAGAGGTGTGGTTGTGATTTGGACTAGTGGGTGTGTTGGTGGGTGGGATGGTTTGACCTTTGAAGAGTATATGGTGTGGGTTTTTATGTGTGAGTGATGAGTTTGTTTCTGTTTTTGGGTTCTGTTCGCAGCTTTTTTTGAGGGTGGGGGGCACAGTTTTGGAATTATTTTAGGGCAAAAGATGATCTTCTATCCTTCTCTTCTTGATTTCTTCCCCCTCAATTCTCTATCTTTGTTTGATGCATTAAAGTCGTTGCTCTGCAACGCCGCCATGGACACTGTCACACCCCCTCCCCCTCCTGCAGCCTCAATTTAATTAATTAAGACAACCAACACTTCCCCTCACCACTCACTCTCTCTCTCTCTCACACACACACACACACACACTCACACTCACACAGTGACTTTCTCACTCCAGAATTCATTCCGCCTTGTGCACATTTTAGAACTTCTCAACAGTTACTCCAGGCAGTGGGTAATAAATTAATCTTTGAATCACAGCCGTTGCATGTCAATCACGGTTAGTATGTGTCCATTTGTCCTTGCACCGGAAAATAAGCTATACTTTTTCTGACCCTTCCTGTAATTAAGTTTGCTTTATGTTATTTCATTGTAGCAAGAATCTACCCAAAGTGGAAAATTCAACCTTACACGCGTTTGGAATGATTTTCGTAACAAACCAATCAATAATTGTGGTTTTTTAATCAGACGGCCATAAGTGTGCCTTTTTTTTGTGAAATTATTGGACACCTCCTATCAATATACCGATAAATCAAGAGATAACTTAATGACAAGAGTCTTATCTTACTTTTTAGAGGTTCGAAATTCACATTCTCTTTTGATTACTTCAAAAAATTTTTTTTGATGATTGTCATATGCATTTGGAACAGGAGGATGTATGTGCCCGATAATAAATTATGGAGTATTCTAAGATGCTTCGGACGCTTAAAAACTAAATTACACTTACGAAAATCGAACCCACTATCTTTCAAATTGATAAAAAAAAAAAATAAATAAATACAAAATACAAAATGTTACAACATAGTGTTAACTCAATCATATTTGGAGTAAAATTGGGTAAGTGTCATAATCATTATTTTTTAATTATTTTTTTAAAAATTAAATTTTATGATTGATGCTGTTTTGTAAGCATAGTAGTTAAAAGGAAATGTGTATTGTTTTGAGGTCAACCGCCTTTGATAACAACAGGAATGATGTAACATGCGCCGAAGAGAGGTTTACCCGAAAAAAAGAAAGATGTGCTACTAATAATAAGAACACTAAAGTAGGACTCTAAAACATATAGATGATGATTCAACATTAGGTTGTATAGGGTAGGAGTATTTAGTTTCTGAAACCCTAATGGTTTCGAATTTGGGGGACATCATCAAAGTTTGATATTAGTCAAATATTTTCTTGTACTACGACTTTAGCCAGCTTATTTTTAGTTATATTTATATATATAATTCTTATTGTAATTTATTACTTGGGTTTGGTTCCTCCTAATTTCTTAACTTTTTAATTGTATTCAAATTCAAGTTAGGGTAGCTCCTTTTTATGATATAGCTTGGTTTATTCATAATAAACGCTGAAACTTCTCAATTAATGGGAACAAACTAGGTGATAAGTTTTGGTGCTCTTTATATAATCCATGTATTTTGATCTGATGAATATTGGCTAAAATAATCATATATATATATACTAGTGAATAAAATCTCAGTTCTTTCTGTCAAATATGGATTAACAACATGCAACAGGAAGATTATGAAAAATTTCTAAACAGGCGAAACAAAATGAATGTAATTGAATTAAGACAAGTCAATATAAATTCATGAAAAGTTATAATCAAACTATTAACAATCTTGATTGTGTTTTCATCCATTGTTCAAAAAGTTTGAATTAATTTTATTGAAGAAAAAATGGCTGCAAATGCTTATTTATGTCTACATTGGATTAAAAAAAAAAAAAAAAAAAAGGGTTTGTCCTAAAAATCGTGTTTTGAATTAGATTGGATGTACTTTAATTAGTAGTTGTTGAAAGACAGAAAATACTTTGTAACTTGTCCAAAAAAAATTTACTTTCTATCACATGCATACTCATAAATTCTCAGTGTTTATTAACGGGTAAATATTCTAGCGATATTAGATTCCTATTTCTCAAAGAGAGGTCAAGTATTCGCGCCTTAATGAAGATGTGAATGTGTAAGTAATAATACCAATTAAGAAAAAAAAAAAAAAAAAAATCCGAATGCTCAAGCAATATTCAATAATTCTCAATCTAGATTTATAAAACTTTCATCATGTAACTAATAGTTTCTTCTATAAATATTGTTTTAAACACCAATTTTTTTGTATGTTTATCATGGCAAGACAACTACAAATATTAAGAATGCCACCTTTTGTACAATATCTAATTTGTCCATTTAGTTTTAAATTGAAGAAAAAATAGTTAGAATAGTTAAAATCGGTAGACACGATCTTCAATTTTATTTTTATAAAGTCAACTTCATATAAAATACATACACATGCAATGTATGCATTATATTTCTGTTTCTCTAATTTATATTCATTTGCATAGCAAGGTCTACTACAACACCCATTAACTAAATAATGTCAAATACAATCCTTAAATCATTATTCCTATTTAAATTCAACTTTTATAAAATTTAAAATGACTCGAGACTTGATGGACTTTGTTATGTGTTTAATATATATATTTTTTATTTTTTCGAAATGGTTGGATACACAATATATATATTCCCTCCGCTCTATATTAGTAGTCCATTTTTTTTTTTTTACATGTTCTAAATTAGTTGTCTTCTTTGAAAAATCAAAACAAATAAATTATATATTTTCATAATTGTCTTTTATCTTTTTAAAAAATTTTACACTTTGTAATTATATATGTTTAAATTAGAAGAGATAAATTGATAATTTTAGAAAGTGACAATATCTCTTTAAAAATTCCTATTTTTAAAAATGAATCTATAATGTATGACAGAGGGAGTATATGCCTAATCAAACACGTGAGAGTCAATTAGTGGGTAAGATTAAGTTAAATATTGAATTATATGAACAGTACGGACAATCAGTGGCCCAAACATCCAAAATGGAGCCGTACGATGGCATTGACAAAAATTGTATTAATCCAAAAGTCATGGAATTAAGAATAATAATTGTAATGTAACGTGACAAGCAATAATACGGACCGAAATTCAATGCCCGTTTTATCTTTTAGGGGCCCGAGGCCCAAACGTCTTTCTTCTTTTACTATTTGACTCTCCAGAGACTGGATCTTTCTACTTTTTTTTTTTTTTTTTTTTTATATATAAATATTTTTTTTTTAACATTTGTTTTATTTTTTATTTTTGAATAACTATGGAAGGAAAAAGAATCACTAACCTTGTGGTACCACACAATGGCCGCTTTTTTTTTTTTTTTCTTTCATATATGAATAAAATATATATATATTAAAAGACAATGAAAGAGTTCTAAATACATAGAATTATAGAATTTTTTTTTTAGAAGAATGATTAAAAAAGGAAAAGAAAATTAAAAGAATAGAATGGGATAAAGAAGGAAAAAAAATTGTTTTTATTTTTTTATTATTATTTTTTTCAATTATATTTGAAAGGATAGAAAAGAAGAAGCAAAGAGAAAATACTACCCTTTTTCCTCTGTTTTGTTTTCTGCTCTCCTTTTCTATTGGATGATGTAACTCTCTTTCCACCCCTTCATTCTTTCCTTCTAGACAGTGGGTATAAAACTTTGACACAGGTTCATTTCAATTTTTTTTCCCCCTGGTGAAAGGTGAATATAATATAAGTATAAAAGAAAAAAGAAAAAAGAAAAAAGAAAAAAGAAGGAAAAATTATTGGGAGGCACATGGGCATACTTAGCATGGACTTGCCTCAATATAATATGTTGTTAATGAGTTATTAATTTATTTGGCCCTAATCAAGCGCTATATAGCTTAACGATACTTTTTAACCTTTTAAAGTAAAAAAATGTGAGGGTTGGAAACTTATGTTTCTTATATAATAATAGAATGGAATGTAAATAGAAATAGAATGAGAATGACTTATTGTTTGGTTGTAAATATAGAACATATAGGAATAGAATGATAATAACCATTCTAGTGTTTGGCTGAACTAATTTCAAATTGAATTTCTCCAAAATACTACTCTTAGTAACAAATAAATTAAATTTGTAGTTGGCTTTAAAAAATATATATATTTATTTTATTAAAAAAAAAACATTCTTTTATAATTTTTTAAAAAGAAATGATGTCAGTGGTACACGGTGGTGACATTAGAAGTAGAGGTGGAAAGCAATAGTGGCGTAGATGGTGGTGTTAGAAGGTGACGACGGTGGTGGCGGCGATGGTGGTAATGATGGAAGGCTCAGTGGTGTAGGTAATGATGGTGGTGGGAGGCAATAGTGTAGGTGGTGGTGGTGGAAGGTGGTAGTGGGAGAAGACATCGTAGGTGACGATGATGGAAGGTGGCAATGATAGAAACAGCGTAGGTGACGATGGTGAAGGCGGTGGCGGTAGTGAAAGTTGGTGGTGGCGGCGGCGGCGGCGGCGGCGGCGATGACAATAGTGGTGGCAGTGACGGTGGTGGCTGGTGAAAGGTGGCAATGGTGTAAGTGATGGTGGCAATAATGATAGTGGAAGGCAATGGAGATGGTGATGGTCAAAGGCAGTGATAATGGTGGAAGTCGGTGGAGGTGGCGTTGGTGGAAGATAGTGGAGGCGGTAGTGGTGTGATGGTTAGAGGCGGCAACGGTGATATGATGGTAGTGATTGTGGTGGAAGGCAATGGAGGCAGCGATGGTTGGGGTGGAATGCGATGATGGTAGAAGGCAATGGTGATACTGATTTTTGGACTTGGAATATAAGGGCACGTATTTTGTGAACCTTTTTTTAAAAAAAAAAAAAATTTATTATTTGAAAATGAAATAGTCATTTTATAAGTTTAATTGTGGAATGGGTTTTAACCTAAAATCAATTATTGATTTAATGACGTGGCTACTCATTAATCATGTAAACGAGCTTTGAACAAAATCCAGAGATGAGTAGGCAAAGTGAACAATATCCTATAGGATGAGGAGATTTATTTATTTTTCTTTGTTTTTACCCGAGCTCAACTTAAGATTAAATATTTTAGATATTTTTAGAAGAGAAAATTTTCTATTTTGAATATATATAG